ATGCACCAAATCTGGGTTCCCATCTCCAATCCAACTGCTTACCATATGTGTGACCTTAGGGCTACTACTTAAAACCCTCTTCACCAGTTTCCTTATAAAATGTAGATTAAGATAATTACCTACTTTATAGAATTGTTGTCAGAATTAAATGAGATAATGCTCATGAATGGCTTAGCCAAAGGGCTTGCACATAGGAAGACTCCAACTTAGTAAATACCTATGATTACCCTCTAAGGCTTCCTTATTTTCATTCTTCTGTCTATTGAGATTAAGTAAAATCTTTAAAAGTATAAAATTATGCATCATAATAATATGAGGGGAAACTACATAGCAACACTTGGCCACATATTACTTTCTATTCTTTTGCTTTTGATGATAAATGCATTAATTTTACATTCAACAAATCATATACTTTGTTTCATTACAATGATTATAATTCCCACCATGTACCATCAGTTAACAGTGTTTCTCTCTATTCATTTTAGCTCTTTTTTTTTTTAACACTCAGCCATATATAATAATTTACACCACCAAAGGACACATTTTGCAAGTCTGCCTCCTGGCCGCCAGCTCTCAGTCCCTCTCTTTCCATGAATCTAGAGTCCTCAGCTGTTCCCTCTCTCCATGTCCTCAGCTCTGCCACCATCTCTGGTGTCGCTGCTTCCCTGGATAAGGTCCCACATTCTGCTTGTGCTCTTCTCCCTTGATGGTCATAGAGTCCCCTGTTTCTGGACAGTAAAATTAACTACTACTCCATTTTTGTTATAAAACTTCCACCTTTACAATTGTGTCAGTCACAATTAGTCATGATAACAATTACTCATTACTGAAACATAAGAATCTTATCCCCATCTCTTTTCAGCAGACCCATCTAGACAAGATGAAAACTATTCAGTGGGGACTCTACCTTCCCCTGCACACTCTTAAACTAAACTCCCTCTTGAAACCTTGTAAGTCAGTCACTTCGTGGCTTTATTGCCCCCTCATTTTAGGTAGCCAATGTCTAAGTTGCCTGTCCTTTTGTATCCTGTATATAGAGGCATTGATACTTGATTGTATTTCATTTTTGCAAATATGAACAACGTAAGTAAAGATTATTCTGGTTAGATTTAAATTGCTTTTAGTTGCTGTGTAAGAGTTCCTAATTTATTCTTCTTTTCTTGAGAAGAGACTACTTTTGAATTCCTTAACATCAGGTAGAATCTAGGTGGAATGGGGTTTTCTAACAATTAACGAACAACTTTGTATATCTATTTATGGAGCTATATACTGAGATATATAAGTCTATATGAATTTAGGGGAGATTCTGTAATTCTGAGCGTACATTTTGCTGGTGGGTATAAGGATAAATGCTGAGCATATTTCCTTCCTTGTGGAGAATCCCGGAGATTGTGAGTCTGAAGGCCTTGGGGTATGTCAATGGCTATTCACATGGAAATCAGCTTGCTTAAACCTCAGGAATTACTGGTAGATCCTAATTGATCTGTTGAGGCCTTTTAATCTACAGCAACACAGTATCCAATATAAGGTGAACCCCACAGCTCCATACAATAACCACTGGACTCCAAATCCCAGGTTCTGTGGTTTGAGCCTACCAGTGGATCCGTGGGAGAAAGATGAAGCTTTGTACCCCCGCAAAGATTTAGAAAAAGCCTCAGAAACCCTATATAGGATTGCTATGAGTCAGAACCAACTGGACAGCACTTCACAACAACAGTCTAATATAAATGTAATGTGGTAGCCACATATGTAATTTTAAATTATCTAGTCACTACATTTAAAAAGGTAAATGAAATAGGTGAAATAAATTTTATTATAAATTATCTATAATCCCCTATAACCAAAATATTAGAATTTCAACTTGTAATAGACATAAACATTTTAAAACACTAGCTTAAGTACTAAGGTTTTGAAATCTGGTATATGTTTTATTACTTGCAGTACATTTCATGATGCTAAATTTCATCAGAAGAAATTCATCTGTAAGATTTTATACAATTTACTGTTGAAAAAGTAGATTCACAAGCTGCATCATATATAGCTAAAAATTTTCCAGTAACTTAACTGAGTATCAGTTTTTAAAATTCAGTTAAAAAAAAAAATCAGTCCTCAATAGTGCTCAATAGCCACATATGGCTAATAGCTATTATATTAAACAAAACTTATAAAATTTTGTTGTATTTTTTTTTAACCTATATAGCATAGTGGTTACGAATCGGGCTGTGAACCGCAAGGTCAGCAGTTCGAAACTACCAGCTGTTCTGTGGGAGAAAGATGAGGCATTCTGCTTCCATAAAGATTTATAGCCTCAGAAAGCCTGTACAGGGTAGTAGCTATGAGTCAGAACTGACTCCAAGGCCCACAGCCACTGCCACGACCACCATATAATTTATAATGGGCTATGTGCTGGGTTACTAATGCCGAGGTCAGAGGTTCAAACCCACCGGATACTTCTGAGAGAAAGATGAGATTGCCTCCTCCTATAAAAATTTATATTCTGTGAGCCTTGGTGTGTGGTATTGTAGGATAAGCACTGGCCTGGTGACTATAAAGTCAGCAGTTCAAACCCACCAGCCACTATTGGAAACCCCATACAGGGTCACTATGAGTCAGAACTGACTCAGAGGAACACAACATGTCATTTATACATGCATATATATATTAAATATTTATTTTGATACTGGCACATATGCAAGATCTAGGAAGGTGAGGCCAACTTTAAAATTTGTGACTAATTCAGACAGTGTGAAAGAATTGTAAAGTTGTCAGTGTAAAAATACTTCAAAGGAGCCATTGTTGAGGGACAATTTTTTTTAAGAATAGAAGGCCTTTAGAGAAGAAATTCTTCAAAGCAGCTATTTATGTATGCATTTATGGACATTATATACATATGTATGCATTTACCTATTTAAAAATATATGCACTCTATTGAAAAAATACAGCATTAACTTGACAAATTATGGAGGGAGGGTCGCTATGGGTCGGAACCGACTCGATGGCACTTAACAACAACAACAAAGTGTAGTAAAATATAAATTATATGCATTTTGTCTTTAAAATTGAGGTACAGTGAAAATCACAAAGGATAAAACAAAGCCCTTGCATAAGTTTTATATGGAGAAAATGGGGAGGCTTAATTATTTTGCATGTTTTGAAAAATTTTAAAGGACCTTTCTTAGATTTTTTTATACATTTATTGTATTCTAAAATGTTAGCCAAAGTAGATTTGATATGTTTATGTGCATGTAAAGTTTTTTTGTGTCATATCAAGCATACCATCATGCTTAATATACTTAATAATTTTGTACTAAGTCTTTACTGGAATCCTGATGTGGACCTGTAGGATAAGCACTGGACAACTAACTACAAGGTTGGTGGTTCAAACCCACCAGCTGCTCCTTGGAAGCCCTATATGGGTTGTTATAAAGTCAGAACTGACTTCAACAGCACTTAACAACAACAACAAAGTCTTTTATAAAATGTTACATATATAAATTTATAGTGCTATGGATGCTCAAGAGATAATGAAAATGATAAATTTACAAGGTTTGTATGACGGGATATTTGTAAACCATTTATTAAATGGTTCTTTAATGAAATACACTCCTGGAAATTTTTGTTTTTATGTGTAAACATAGCTGACGGAGTGACTCAGGTGTGATGCTGCAGGATAAGCTGGATCACAAGGTCGGTTTGAATTGCAAGGTTGGTGGTTGAAACTCACCAGTCGCTACTTGGAAACCCAATACAGGGCCGCTGTGAGTTGGAAGTGACTCGCCGGCACTTAGCAGCAATAGCAAATAGCTAATGAGCGTAGTGGTTACAAGTCAGGCTGCTAACCTCAAGGTCAGCAATTCAAAATTACCAGCCATTCCACCATAGAAAGTTGAGGCTTTCTGCTCCCATAAAGATTTACAGCCTCAGAAACCCTATACAGGGTCACTATGAGTCAGAACCAACTCCATGGCACACAACCACCACTACTGAGGAAAACAGATTGAGCATAATCTCCCTAAGGGAATCAGAATGCAAAAGTGGATTAATAATGATAGACTTTGTTTTCTAACTTATGAAAAAAATCTACTAGCTATGATGAGTAACAGTTCAAAACTACCAGCTGTTCTGCAGAAGAAAGATGAGACATTCTGCTCCCATTAAAATTTACAGCCTCAGAAACCCAGAACCGACTTGGCACATAGCCACCACCACCACCATGATGAGTATAGCAGCATCATTCACCTACATGCTCTACCTATTTGTGTAGTCGATTCGGACTTACAGCAACCTTTTAAGACAGAGGAAAACTGTTCCAGAGGTTATAAATCTTTACAGGAGTCTCACCTTTCTCCCATGAGAAAGTCACTTCTTGTTGTTGTAGTCAGTAAGTGCTGTTGAGTTGGTTCCGACCCATAGTGACCCAGTATAGGGTTTCCGAGGAGCAGCTGGTGACCTTGAACCTCCTATTTTGTAGTTCAAGTTGACTTTGCAGTCCAGTGCATTAACCCACAGCACCACACCAGGACTCATAGAAAGGTATTCAGTATCATAAAAATGAAGTCTCTGTAATAAAATATTGCCATTAGATTGAAGTTGTTGTTGTTAAGTGCCATTGAATCAATTCCGACTTACAGTGACCCTGTGTAGGATTTCCAAGGAGCAGTTGATGGGTTTGAACTGCTGACCTTGTGGTTTGCAGTCCAGTCCTGATCCTATAGCACCACACAAGCTTGCTTGGATAATAAATACTCAGAATTCTTCTTGACCATTACATTTGTATTCCTGAAATGTTTCCCCACTTGTTTAGCCCAGTAATATGAGATGTCATTCTCTTCTTCTATTGTATTTAATTTTATGCATTAAGCATTATTAATATATAATTATTTGGGGTATATTTGAGGCTTTATTCCTAGAATTATTTAAGATAACTACCTTCCATTGAATCTTTCATGTATTCTAGGCTGAATTTTTCACAAGTATCTAATATAAAATTTCTTTTTCAGGTATTATTCCCCTGGATATTCTGATACACTTCTGCAGAGGGTGGACAGCTATCAACCACTTATTAACTAAGCAAAGTTAGGGTTTCATACCGAAATTCACAGCTCGACATTTATGCATAACAGTTGTTGAAGCACTTTCTAAATATTTATTCAATGTGAATTACACTTAGATAATATTTTCTAAATTGATACAATACCTTAAAAATTATTAACTTTATGAGGGGCTATTCATGACCAATTGCATGCATAGGATTTGCTCTAAAGGTAGATTTTTTTAAAAGATACCAAAGGTTTTTAAGGCATTTGTTATTCTAGTAAAAAAATCACACAACCATACACACACACATTCACACCCACACACCACCACTTCTCTCAATGAGAGATAGATGAGAAGTGATGTTCAAAAAATCTTTAGCTATTATTGCCAAATCCTTATATACTTAGCAAAATTGGCCTTGTAAATTCCACAGTAGGATGTAGAGGGGAAATAGTTGAAAGAGGAAACTAATGACAAGGATACAGGGTATATGAAATTTTCTAAAGTTGTTTGCATAAATGCATTAACCTAATGCATAGAATCTGTGGATATACTTGTTCAGATTCCCTAAGAATATAGGAAGACCCTACTCTTTACCACAAGTTTTCTGTACACTTTTCTTCTTCCTCTACCTGTTCTTCACTACTCATGAGGGCAGTTCTACTGCACACGCTTTCCATTTTCATTGAAAACCGTTCACTGAAAGGTTTCTTAATTTAGCATCATATGTGAATTAACAAGAAGTAGGAATGTAAAATGGTCCTCAGTTTTCCCTTGTCCTAGCTTAATTTCCCCAAGTTCAAAAGACATAATCTCGGGAATTTAGGGAATTTGAAAATAATAGCATCAAGCTCAGACTTTACTTGCATGTCCATATAGGAAGCTTTATGGATGTGGGGTAGAATTTCAAATAAAATTTTAAATAAAAACAACATTAGAATTGTGGTTCCATTTTTCTGAGATATTGTGTGGGTGAGGATGATAAAGAAGAATTCTATCAACTTCTTCAATCTGAAATTGATCAAACATGCAATCAAGATGTATTGATCATTACTGGTGATTGGAATGCAAAGATTGGGAGCAAAGAGGAAGGAGCAGTGGTTGGAAAATATGGACTTAGTGATAGAAATGATGCTGGAGAACACATGATAGAATTCTGCAAAACCAATGATTTGTTCATTTCAGATACCTTCTTTAGACAGCATAAGAGACGACTATACACATGGACCTCACCAGATGGAATACATAGAAATCAAATTGACTATATCTGCGGAAAGAGACGATGGAAAAGCTCCATATCATCAGAGAAAACAAGACTAGGGGCAGACTGTGGAACAGACTATCAATTGCTCATATGCAAATTCAAACCGAAGCTGAAGAAAATGAAAAGTCCACAAGAGCCAAAATATGACCTTGAATATATCCCACCTGAATTTAGAGATGATCTGAAGAACAGATTTGATACATTAAAGAAGAGTCATGTGATGACGTCAAGAATATCATACAGGTAGAAAACAAAAAGTCATTAAGAAGACAAGAAAGAAGGAAAAAAAAGAAAGAAAGAAAGAAAGAAGGAAAAGGTAAAAATGGATGACAGAAGACACACTGAAACTTGCTCTCCAGTGTAGAGATGCTAAAGCAAATGGAAGGAATGAGATATAAGAGCTGAACAGAAGATTTCAAAGATCAGCTCGAGAAGATAAACCCAAATATTAGAACAAAACGTGCAAAGATCTGGAAAACCAAAAAGGAAGAACACACTCAACATTTCTCAATCTGGGAGAACTGAGGAAAAAATTCAAGCCTCAACTTCTGTTATTGAAGGATTCTCTGGACAAATTATTGAATGATGTAGAAAGCATCAAGAGAAGATGGAAGGATTGGATTACACAGAGTCATTGTACCAAAAGGAAATGGTTGATGTTCAACCGTTTCAAGAGGTAGCATATAATCAAGAGCCAGTGATAAGGAAGAAGTCCAAGGTGCATTGAAGGAACTGTCAAAGAACGAGGCACCAGGAATTGATGGAATAAAAATTGAAATCTTTTAGGAAAGTGAGGCGGCACAGGAGGCACTCACTCATCTATGCCAAGATATTTGGAAGACAACTATCTGGCTGACTGACTGGAAATGATCCATATTGGTGCTCGTTCCTAAGAGAGGTGACCCAATGGAATGTGGAACTCATTGGACAATATCGTTGATAACCCATGTGAGTAAAGTTTTACTGAAAGTAATACAGAAATGACTGCAAGCATCCATTGACAGAGAACTTCCAGAGGTTCAAGCCAGATTCAGAAGAGGCTGTGGAATCAGGCATATCATTGCTGATGTTTGATGGATCTTGGCTGAAAGCAGAGAATATCAGAAATATGTTTACCTGTGATTTATTGACTATACAAAGGCTCTTGATTGTGTGGATCATAACAAGCTATGGACAACATGGTGAAGTATGAGTATTCCGGAACACTTAATTGTGCTCATGAGGAATCTGTATGTGGACCAAGACACAGCTGTTCAAACAGAACATGGGAACACTGAATGGTTTAAAATTAAGAAAGGTGTGTGACAGGGTTGTATTCTTTCATCATATGTATTCAACCTGTATGCTGAGCAAATAATCTGAGAAGCTGGGTTATATGAAGAAAACCATGGCATCAGGATTGGAGGAAGACTCTTTAACAACCTGCAATATGCAGATGATACAACCTTACTTGCTGAAAGTGAAGACTTAAAATATTTACTGATAAAGATCAAAGGGCACAGCCTTCAGTATGGATTGCATCTCAATGTAAAGAAAACAAAAATCCTTACCACTGGACCAATAAACAAAAATTCTTGTCAACAGAGAAAGGATTGAAGTTGTCAAGGATTTCATTCTTCTTGGATCAACTATCAACACTCATGGATGCAGCAGTCAAGAAACCAAACGATGTATTGCATTAGGTACATCTGCTGCCCAAGACCTTTGTAAAGTGTTGAAGAGCAAAGATGTCAGTTTGAGAACTAAGGTGCGCCTGATCCAAGCCATGGTATTTTCATTAACCTCATATGCATGCGAAAGCTGGACAGTGAATGAGGAAGACTGTAGAAGAATTGATGCTTTTGAGTTATGTTGTTGGAAAATATTGAAAGTGCCATGGGCTGCCAAAAGAACCAACAGATCTATGTTGGAAGAAGTGCTGCCAGAGTGCTCCTTGGAGGCCAGGATGGCCAAATTTCATCTCTTATACTTAGGATATATTGTCAGGAGGGACCAATCGCTGGAGAAGGATATCATGTTGGTACTTTGGAGGGTCAGAGAAAATGAAGAAGACACCCAGAGAGATGGATGGCAAAGTGTAAGCATCAGTGGGCTCAGGCTTGATAACGATAGGTTGGCCCAGGACTGGGCAGTGTTTCGTTCTGCTGTGCATAAGGTCACTATGAGTTGGTACAGAGTCAATGGTACCTAACAACAAAAACAATAAAACAACCAATGGGCACAGTCTACAAGCCTGCCTTCTGGCCACCAGCACACAGTCTTTTTCTTTCCATGAGTCCAGAGCCTCAGCTGCTCCCTCTCTCCATGTCCTTATCTCTGTCTCCATCTCTGGTGTTGCTGCTGCTCTGGAAAGGGTTCCACATTCCACTCATGCTCTCCTCCCTTGATGGCCCTTAGGTCTTCTGTTCAGGAATGTAAGATTAACTACTCCCCCCTTCATGTTACAAAAGTTCTTTCTTTACAGTGTGACAATCGCAATTAGTCATGAGAACCAAATATTCACTATTGAATCATAAGAATCCTATTCCCATTCCCTTTCACCAGGCCTGTCTAGCCAACATCAATACTATTCAGTGGGGATTCTACCTTCCCCCACACTCTAGTGTGGTTTTGACATTGGAAAATTTGTGGTGCATTTAATTAAACATTTTGGTTAGATGGTATATGTGTGTCTTTTGATCTGAAGACACATTACGTACAGTGATCTCTCAGTAAACTGAAAAGGAGGTGACTGACTCAGAAAGCCCCTCAACCACATTGTTTCCAGTTTGACCTTGTTTTCAGATTCCTTTACTGAACTAACTTTATCACTTTTTTTTATCGTCAAAAGCAACGTACTATTAATCTTAATACCTCAAGGATTATTCTCTGTTACCAGTATTTTCAAATAATACATTGCTTTGTTGCATCTGTTCAGACTTAGTCGTATCTAAGGGTCTCACTTATTCGTGCCTTATATCAATTTAGGAGTGCTTGTGATTTGACATTTCTTTATTTCCTTGGACCTGTTTTGTTTCCTTGAAGTAATTTCTTTAACATTACCAAACCAAATCCACTGCCACTGAGTTGTTTCTTTAGAACTGTCCCTTAGGGTTTTCTAGGCTGCATATCTTTATGGAAGCAGACTGCCACATCTTTCTCCCATGGAGCAGCTGGTGGGTTTCAACTGCTGACCTTTTAGCTAGCAGCTAAGGGCTTTCACCATTGTACCACCATTAGGTCAAAGAAAAGGTCATTTTTATTCCCAATTTTGTAGCTTTTCCTTTCCTTCCTGCATGTCCAGCTTGCCTTATGAATCATTTAACAATTTGAGAAAATAGAGGTAGTTTTCATCCTCCATTTTTTCATAGATAACATGTTTGTAATGACAGAAATTCATCTATCAGTGTTAAAACTTCATAGATTATGGGGATAGTTGCTGTGCAGTGAATTATCATATACTTCATTATGTCCCTTCGAACCATTAGTCTTTGTAACTCCCAACAAACTACTTTTTCCTGATGGGTCTGGGTGAGAGAAGATGGGGGAAGATGCTGATGGATTATCTGATTCAGTATGAGTGATTGTTAACTAGATTATTGTGAACACTTTGAACTCTAACATAGGTATAAAAGAAAGCATCTTATAAGCAGGAGGGAGGATCTCACTACCATCAAGAAAGCAGAGCTAGGAAGGGAGTGCATCCTTTGAACCTTGAGATTTCTAACCATTAAAACACCTTGATCCAGAAGACAGAGCTGTGACTTCAGAGGAGCAGAGGCAGCAGATC